TTATCAGGCATATTGAAATTTGAGCTGTGGTCTTAAACAAGCAGACAAAACACCAAAAACACCCAACACAAAAAAACTATTTGTTAAGATCAAAAACTCAAGAACAGTTAAAAATGAAGCAAAGACAAATAAACAAAAATGAACAAAAAACAAAGTCCTGAGAATAGTAAACAAACAACGACACTCAAAGGCTCTAGAACACTTGAAACACTGAAAAACAAGCAAACGAATAAAACATTAATATAGTAGACAAACAACACTATCAGTTACGACTGAAAATCTTCAAAAACTCTGAGGGAAAGACAATAATAAAGAGAATGAGAACATAAAACACTAACAAACATCAATATCCGCTAGGGCTGGAGTATCAAAAACCAGGGTAAAAACAAACAAACAAGCAGAAAAAATAATTTTGAGTGATGTGAAAACTTTGACGTCAGCCGGGAATCGAACCTGCATTTCGCTCTTCCATTGGCGTGTGCTTAATCAACTGCACTACCGACGTCTTTATTGTCCATTGCTCTCTCTACACTATGAAGCATCATTCTGGTGGCAAGATAAGCCTCGATTGTGCAACTGGTTAAGAACGCACTTCCGAATAGGATGGAATGCAGGTTCGAGTCCCGACTGACATCAAAATTTCGTACACCACTCAACATCATAAAGCTAGTATAAAGCTCTCGGGTTGATCAAACCCTGCGGGATGCGCCATATCTTGCTTCTACAGTGACTAGCGGTGGCCTCCCGCTGTATTGAGCGTGCTGCTTTCCTGGGCAGGTCTGAGAACATTCTGGCACCAACTTACCGACCCCGAAGAGATGGATGGCCTAGTGAGCCATGAGCGCGAGTTCACACTATTGACCTTGTGTGGAGCGCAGAGCACCTCTAACCACTGCGCAACATGTGCTCGTCCGGTTAGACCATTCTGACATACCCAGTGATATAGAGTGATATGCAAGTTTGTTTAACCGCTTTGCGGTGGTAGGATGCTTCAGATAACCTAGTGTAGGGTTCAATGTCGATACCGACTAGTCGGGCCAGGCCATTGACGATTAGCGGCCGACAGATAGATGCGTTATATCGTAGAAAGAGTGGTGTGCAAAATGGGCGTCAGTGGTGCAATGGATTAGAGCACGCGCTCCCGGATATATTGAGATGCGGGTTCGAGTTCTGCCTGACGTAAAAACTTGCACTCTAAAACATTGGGTAACCCTGAAACATTATACTACCGCTAGAAGGGGTCAAACAAAAAGAATTCAATTTCAATTTGATCGTTCAAAAAGCATTGTTTGCTTAAACAAGCAAAACACTAAAAACCACAAGCAAACAACAATATCCACGAGGACTAAAGCACTTATTTGACTCTGGAAAAAACCTCTAGGGAACCTAAGAGGCTAAAGGAAGGCGAAAGGCAAACGAATAACCGCCGATTTGACCTTACCTACACTTCCATGTTGATCGGTGAATGACATCGGATTCAGACCAGTACCCTCACAGCTAGCCGCCAGAGCCGCCATTGCTCACCACCCTCTCAGCTCCTCAATCTTCCACTTCGTCGTCACTCGATTCCGGAGATCTGTTCAAAACTAAAAACAAACATACCCAATGATGTGAGTACTGTGCAAAAACGACTGCGTCAGCCGGGATTCGAACCCAGATCCCACTCTTTCCGGGAGCGTATGCTAACCGTTGCAACCACCGACGCTCGTTTTACGCACACTCTTTTTACGCCACACCGTCGAAGGTTGGCTTTTGACAGGTAACGCCCTGTAGCGTCAGAAGAGTGCTGAGGCAAAACAAGCGTCGGTGGTGCAACGGTTCAGCACGAGCTTCCGGAAAGAGTGAGATCTAGGTTCGAATCCCGGCTGACGCGATCGTTTTTGCACAGTACTCCACATCATTGGGTGTATTACGAGATCATAGAGTCGCAACAAGCGATCAAAGAAATGAATTGCGATTGATCATTAAAAATAAACAATCTCCAGAATTCTCCCCAGGCTCCTCCCTATAGCAAATGAAAACTAGTAGAATACGGTAGCGGGTTGGTAAACAAACAAACATAAACAAGAATAAACAAAGATGTAAACAAGACACGAACAACAGAGTCCCTTCGCTCGCTAGGAATAGAGAATTGAGCGCTAGACTTTCTGAATATCTGAGCGTTAGACGCAATTGCGTACAACACTCAGTCGCCATTTTTGCGACGACTAAATGTCTCTCTAGGGCGCCATGGCCGAGTGGTTGTGGTGCTCGTCACGGCGCGCGTGAGGCCGAGCTCCACTCCCCACCACTCTCCGGCAGTCAACAAGAACGCACTATGCAACGCCCGGCAAGGCTATCCTCGATATTGCAAGGGGACTCGTTCAAACTTGTACTCTACGTCGTTCAAGAAGAACACGAAAGACGAATCGATAGACTCGAAGTACTGGGATCCGCCCAATAAAAAATTGTGCTCAACGAGTCGTATAAAATAAAATAAAAAATGTTTCCCTTCAATCCTTTAGGATTCACGACTGCCGCGACAATGCTGCTCTTCGCTACCGTAACCATCACTAGCAGTGAAGCACAAGGCGGTGATAGCGCAGTGGCGCAAGAAACACATACCCTGGTTCGATCCCCCACCACCACTTTTGCACGCAATCGTATTTTTGAAGATAATAGTAACGAATAACACCACCTATTTAGTAGAAAAAATGGAAATTACGGGACAGTGGACGACAAAAATGTCATGATTTCTTGAGAAATTCTTTATATCCAGCAATATCCAGCACATTACAATAAAACAGAACAGACCGATATAAGTGATGGGCAAGGACAATCACGAGATAAAGACTGGAAAAGAGTAGGGAAAACATGTACAACGTGAAATCGCAATATAAGTATAAATATGCAATTTATAGAGTTATTTGAAGCAGGGGTCAATCAGACAACTGTCGGTCACTTGAACGACTTCTCGAACCATCTGATGATGTTCACTGACGCGTCGATCTCCGCTTCAACTTCATCGATACGATGAGATGATGACGGATAAGTAAGCACCCTGCAATCAATCACTTTCCTCTCCATTCGTGGATTCAGAGGCTTTAGAAAACTTTGACTTATTGCACCTTTCGCTTCAAGTGTTTTCTTAGAACCACGCTCAAATTTCAATATGCCTGATAGTTATTTTTTGAGCCATGCATGTGAACTGTTTATGGGCACCTTTATACAATCGCAATACACGTCTTTTGGCCTTGCAGTTTATGGGGATCGGGTTCGCCCCAAGAGGACTGGCTAGACGAAAGGCAGTGTGCAACTGACGAAGCTGTGCAAGGTCGAAACACGTGTATTCGCACTGTAGAAGTCGCCATAACAGATCACATGCATGGCTCAAAAAGTAGCTATCACGCATGTCCACATATTAATAGGTCGTTCCATAAGTCTTGGCACTAAAGCAATAAACACCAAACCTATTACCCAGAAGTAACTAAGATTGCATGATTTTCATATCGTACGACTACCCATTTTCTTGCGGATATTTTGGTATACAACTTGTCCATACTTGCTTCGAGACGAAGCTGCCGTGGGAACAAATTCGCTTACTACTTATGCACGAATGGCGCGTAGGGGAAAATGTTAGTGAAGCGGCGCCTGAAGATTAATGGAGCTTCCTGTTGGACGACCAAGGCGCGACATGATCCCTCAGGATGTTTTTTCCCCTTTTGAAACTTCGCGAACGACTTCCTAGCCGCCCTTCTGTAACCGTATCGTCGTCATCGCCCCAAGCTCCATTGATCTTGCGCGCCAGCTCGCTAGCACTTTCCTCTACGCGTCATTCATGCATAAGTAGCAAGCCAATTTCTTTTCAATACAGCCCCATCTTGAGGCAAGCATAAGCAAGTTGTATACCAAATCTTGCAAGAAAATGAGCATTTGTGCGATACTAAAATCATGTTATCTTAACTATCTCTCGTTAATAAATTGGTGTTTATTGCTCTAGCGCCAAATATTATGGAGCAACGTCATATTTACAAGGATGCTGAGGACTGTTCAATACTCTCGACTTCAGAAAGAGACTGAACCCATGCTCCACTTAGATCGAGGGCGCGCTACTACCACTATACCACCGAGGCCACCCTTACACACAAGGCGGTAGCAGAGCGATTAAAACACGGGTTCAACTCCCGCCCGTGGTTGAAAGTCTTGCATATCAAGCAGTAACTCTGGATATGTAGTTCTAACACTATAATGGTGCTGTAGGAGTGGTAATTTTCAAAGATTCCACTAAATTATTCATACTGTTCACCGATATCATGAGTTTCCTAAATGCAGGATTCTCATATAGTAAAGAATGGGGCGTCACCAAATGGCAAGTAGGCAAACTAGACATAAAAAAACAACTCAACTTTTCCAAAGGTCAAAAGTCATCATTATCAACCCAGGGTTTCCACTTTCTTGAGTGGTTTTTTTCAAATGAAAAAAAGTCACAAAATGTCACCAAAATCATCATCTCACAGCCTTCACGCGCCTAGTCAAGCAAACACTAAGTTTGCAAAGCTCTGTGTAACGAGGAAGATTTCTCTCTACTCTTCTTATTTTACCCTCGCGATTTGAGTTCCACTCTAGGTTTCCGGAAACAATGCACCTAACATGACTGAACAAACATATCTCAGCCTACTCCTTCAGATAGGGGCAAAAGTCAATACAAACAGATAATCTAGCCAAAGGGATAGAAGTTTCCCTAATGCGACAGCACCGAAGTTATGACTTTATGTATCATTGAAAAAGGATCTTATTACTTTTTTCCGCATTTCTACAAATTGTCAAAGCCGAACTCGAAAACATACTTTCTGAGTACGATTTCTTAGAAAAAACTCATATAGGAGTGGATGATGTAGTCAATGTTGAGGAGTGTGCGTTGATTCCTACGTGAAAAAGATTATTCCTTTGGGTACCACGATGATTTCTCACGCAACACGCGACGCAATCACTAAGCAAGCGAGTGTCGCTAAATGACTGTTTGATAAATCTCAATTGTACATCAATTAGAATAAGATCTGATTAAATGCGCTGCACTTATTCAGACTCAGTTCCATATGCTCGTAGAAACGGTTCCTTGTGCTTCATCCAATTCATATCTCTCCAAACAACTTCAATGAAACCATCTGTAACTTGTCTGTGGCTGTGCATCACTGCGTTAGAGACCTGATTCATTCCCCATAACGCATGTGATTAATTCTCTTCTGCATGGTTTATTTGAGAGCATGGTTCATTTCTTATTATTTTCAGCTAATTTCTGTGAAAAGAGTCGGTTACTCCCAGTCAACAGAAGGCTGATACCTGGACGGACAGTGTCTTGGATTGGTTACTGTGTCAAGGCCAAAATCGAAAATCTAATTTGGCCAAAACCTCTAGCCGATATTTCCAGCAATAGAACTGTTTGTATACATGCGTATGATACTGATACAGGCTATCGAAAAGCCTGTATCGTAGATATGTGGAAGTGTTGTATAATATACAACTAGGCCAAGATGCACATAAGATCCTGAACTTCCACACATTCTCTTCAAGCATTTGTGAAATTCTGCAGTGAGATTAACATTACTGGCAGATAACCGACTGATTGGAGCACAAACAGCGAAAATCTATCTATGCGCTCATGATAGCGTCTCTCGACACCTTGGCGCTTTTCCCATCGCTTTATCGTTTATTCTTTAATACTACTTTATTCTCTAATAAATGTCAGCTTAAGATGTGAGTTATTGTTCAAGCCAGTTTGGCACTCTGTTCGAATTTTCACAAAAGTGATCTTCCAATATCACATACGCCTTCCTCCTCGCTACAGAGCAGGGCTTAATGTGAGGCCGTGGGCCACTAACGAAGAGGGCGAGACCTCCGAAACACGATTGTATGGCTCTGGCCTAACAACTTCGCTAAGGCTCTAAACATTCTTAAGAACTACACTAAGTGTTTATTGCAAGGTTCTGAAACACGAGCTATGGATAATTCTATGTACCCCCGCGATCCATCAACTGAAGAGGACGATAGCACAATGCATGTACGTGTGCTGTCGCCACGTACGCCTCTTTCTACTATAATGCAGGCTTAATGTGGGCGTGGGCCACTGACGAGGAGGCAAGACCTACGAAACGACGTGTTGGCCGTGACGTACCTCGCTTAGATTTTAAGACATTCTTACAGATTATCATGGAATGTTCATAGCGAGATATAAGAAACAGTCGATCAGATGACTACTTCTGAGCGATTGCTGGAGCGATGGTCCAGGTCTTTTCAGAGTATCAATGGCGTCATCTGTCATGGAGGTAAGGATCTTATGATATAACCCTATCTACATGCAGACAACAATGAGGAAGCCTAACGAAAACGACAAGTTGTACAAAATAAAGCCACTAATGGATCTTGTGAATAGTAATTGTAAGGCTGTGTGGAGGCCAGGAATATACGTGTGTATCGACCAGAGGATGGCACCATGTGAAGGAAAAATCAAGCTCCGCCAGCGCGAAGTCCTTGCAAATGGAACAGATTTGAAATGGAGCTTTTCAAAGCCTGTGATGAAGGGATACAAAGCCAAACCCGACGAGCCTGTTGCGATCGTATGGAAATGGAGTTGATGGACGGTATACTGGATTAAGAAAGACAACTTTACGCCGACAGCATGGTGCATCAGTGTTCCCCGAACCGAAAAGCCGTTACGAAGAAAACATACCTGACCGAGACCAGCAAGAAGAGGCGGAAAGGTATGCCAAAGGACATAATGCAGGGAGAAACAACGTAAGGGCGGGTAGAGAGCCGTGAAAAATCAGAGTGACGTGAATAATGATTAGGTGGTCTGACAAAAGAGAAGTGCAGATGCGTTTGGCAGCATATCGACGA